AGATTCAGAATCTCTAATACAGCCTTTTTGTGTGAGGCAAGTCAGAGCATTAAAACTGTTCTAATATTTCAAAGCTCTTGCGCTTAACTATAACCCCGCCTCATAAATGAGCCATATATGTACTTTTTTGTTTTGCTGATATTACTGGAAAAATCCCTCATTTTAGTAAATTATTTTAAATGTAAAATTTCACAATTTTAATACTTTCCATGCATAATTTTCTGTTATTCTACCTATCACTCAACTAATCATCAAAGGCAGAAACTTCAGTGTTCTTAAACATCTCCTTTTCCTTGTAGTACTATAAATTGAGCATGAATCCCTGGAGATTTTATCTTCATATGTCTCCAAATTATTTTCTCTTTCTTCACAGTCCATACATGGATTCTTTTATACATGGGTTCCCTTGCAGGGGTTCCCATGCTATTTCTTTAGCCAAGAATGCTTTTTCCTACCTCTTTGGTAAATGTCCATTTCTCTTCCAAAACTACTTGGAATTCTACCTTGCCCAACCCGCAGACTACGTTCTCTTTACTCATCATTTATTGCATTGTGTAAAACATACACCCTGGAAAATCCCTAAGGATCTTAAAATGTCTCAGTAAATGTCTTGGAAAATAAACAGTGTCTAGTACACAATAGACATTCTATAATTAAAATTGAATAAATTATTATTATTCAATAATATATAGCTTGGTAATAATATATATTGAATAAATGAGTAAATATTAACATTAATTAGTATTTAGAAATAAGAAATTAAAATGTACATTTAGTAAAATGTCAAAAGTTATGCTGACATTTCTCAAAGTGAAACAACAGCAATCATTTTAAGGCCTTGGACATTTACTCAAAAAGAAATATATGAAAAAATATTCAGCATCATTGGTCATTTTGCAAATTAAAACAACACTGAGACTCCATCTCATGCCAGAAAGGAAGGTTATCTTCAAAAAAACAACAAATGCTGGAGGGGTGGTGGGGCAAACAGAATCCTTCTCCATTGTTTGTGGAAGCGTAGACTGGTACAACCAAGGTGGAAATTAGTTTGGAGATTTCTCAAAAAACTAGGATTGGATTGGAGGCCCCACTTAGACCAGCTATTTTCTCCTGGGTATTTTTCCATAAGAACTGAAAACATATTACAATGATATATGTACACCCATGTTTATAGCAGCATAGTTTGTCATAGCTAGATCTTGGAAACAAACCAAATGCCCATCGACCAAGGAATGGATAAAAAAGATGTGGTATTTTTATGCAAGGGAGTGTTACTCAGCTATAAAGAAGATAAACTTGAGGCTTTTATAGGTAACTGGATGCAACTAGAGACCAGACTCTTAAGTGAAATAAATCAGACCTGCATGTGTAAACATTGTATTGTCTCCCTAATGTAAGAACCTGAAAAAGTAAATAAAATCCAAAAGGTATATTAAATGCTGGAAAAGAGAAAGAATCTGTACAAAGAGAAGGAACAACTGGGATGGGGGAAAGGAGAAAAAGAAAGAAGGAAGGAAAATATCTATGTATATACATAGGAGAGCTTGGATAATTGTATTGCTGATTTCTGCTGGTCTATTGAAAGGAATAGTTACTGCTTAAATTTATTCTTTTTAATTTTTTTGACTGATTTTGCATGCTTATACCTGGTAATATGAACATGAATTTGGAGACAATAATATGCAATGTATTAATTATTGTAACTATCCTATTAACCTGTTTTGAAACTGTTTCATTGCTATTTTTTCTCATTAAAATGAATACAAAATAAAAAAAAAAAAAGAAAAAGGAAGATGCAGGGACCAGGGTTTGATTCCCAGTATACCCACATGCCATCCCCACTCCTGGGGTGCACTGAGATGGCGATTGAGACTGGGCGTGGTGACACGCACCTGTAATCCCGGCACTTGGGAGGCTGAAAATAGGAGGATCACTACAAGTGCATTCTGTGTAGTGAGACCTTGAACTTAAAAGTTCAATCCCCAGTTCCACCAAAAAAAAAAAAAAAAAAAAAGAAAAGACATCTGCAAGTCCACCCTGAGCAAATGACTTCTAAGAGCAGAACTAGAAGGATATGGAAGGGGTTAGAAAAATAAGTGTAAAACTTATAAGCGAGGACAGAACACAAGATACAAGGACTGGCATGTGATTAGTTTAGAGTCTAGTGGAAGCCAGTTCTGAAATATGACAGATATTTCAATGGGTCTTTCCAGGAGCTGGCTCCCTGACCACTTTGAGAGTTCTCCTCTGGATGAATGTGCTTAGCTTTCTTTGTTTCTCCTGCCTTATTCTGGAGGCCATATTTCTATTAGTACAATACAAGACAGTAGTTATAATCCATTGAGTTTTTAATTCATCAGAGCCACTCAGCTTTTCTCTGCCTCATGAAATACTTGTGGGGCACTTGTGCTAATCCTGATTAGGTGCATTGCATGGAGGGCAGAAGCCCAGGAAGCATGCAGAATGAGAGAGGTCTGGGAAATCAGCTTGTTTCACTTCTTCTTTCTCATTTCCACTCCTCCTGAAGGCTATGTTAGAGTTATTTGTTGTTTTGGCTTTGTTTCTGGTTGGTTGAAAACACAATTTGCTCATGCTCTGGAGCCCTATTCAGTTCTGCCTGGGTGGTGGATGTGTATGCAAGGCCCCTTGGCAGGCTCTTGTTCTGTTGCTAGTGAAGGTGGTCATCTCTCCGGGTGCCTAACAAGGCCAGTACTATTTTCACACAGTGATCTGGGGAAGAATGTAGTTGGTAGGTTCTTAAGTTTCTAAGAGTACCAGATTCCACTGGAGGATACCACACAGGTTAATTGCTCCTGAAAAAGTGTAATTTTATTTTTATATCACAACCATCAAAGACAAAATAACAAATAATTAACACAACCCTCAATTTCCCTTCATTTATCACCTAGTGACAAGGGACACTATAGTCACTGATGTGGTACAACTTACAGTTTCTCCTCGGAAACCTTTTTCACCTCTGGGGCCCTGCAGGGGGAAAAAACAATGCTGGTTTAGTATCATGGATAGTTGCATATTGAATGTAATTGGGATGGTACAAAATAACGAGGCATTTTAGAATTTTACTTTTTCTCTATTAAAACTTAAGTTTTGTGTGCTTGTTTGTTTTTTGGTATGGAGAATCAAACTCAGGACCTTGCACTTTTGAGGCAGGTGCTGTGCCACTGAGCTGTCTTGCCAGCCCTGTTTTGTTAATGTTATGTACACTTTTATTTTCTTTTCATGAATAAAGCAAAGCAAACCAAAAATAGCCTCTTGGTTGATGATTCTTCTGTTTTACTGTCTCTAACTCTACCTTAAAGTGAGATTAGGAATGCAAACTATTCATTTAAGTCAGAATAGCCAGTCTAACAATCACATACAGAACAATTTAGAAAGGAAACTGTAAATCAAGGTTAAATTTTAGCATTTGTTTCCCTCAGCCTTTGAAAATCCTGCTTCTAAACTGGTTTCCTCTTTCATCTTTTCTTCTTATTCTCCTTTCTGAGCTGCACCGGGCACATTTTGAGTTGTATATGTTTTTACTCAGTTCAAAGTATTTTCTAACTTCCCCTGGGACTTCTTTGATCCTGGGATTATTTAGAAATGTGTGATTTAATTTTAAAGGTATTTGGAGATTTTCTTTTTATCTGTTTTTGATTTTTAGTTTAATTCTGTCTTGGTCGGAGAATATACCTTGTGTGACTTCGGTTATTCTAAGTTCAGTCAATTCACTTGACAACCTGAAATGCCATCTATTTTGGTGAATGTTCTACAACCAGTGAAAAGGGGGTCTGCTCTTCTTGGGTGGGCTTACTGCTTTGTGACCTCTTGTCAATATTTCCATCTTCCTTCTTGTGGAAATTATAAATTTTTCGACAAAAAGGTACTATTTACCTTTTATTTAACTTGAATTTAAGCTATACTTTAGTTTTCTAGGTTATTTTTCTAAGTTTCTTTGATTTCAGTGTTTTACATGAAAGTCTTTAAAAGTTAACCTGGGATTTAAAAAGTATTGATGAAACCAGGTTCTAATTTCTTACAGCAGTAATGGTACACAAAGTGATTCCGTGTCCCTTCCCCCTCACCGGTGCCACGAGGTCGAATACTCCTCAGGTGCTAGGCGTATGCAACATCTGAATGGGATTCTTAAGAAACTGTAATCTCTTGTGATGGCAACACGATGGTGGGCATGCTGCAGCCAACTGTTTTGTTATCATTGAAAGTTCTAGAAGGCTCGCCATCACTGGTATAAGTCCTTTTTTTAATTTTTAATTTTTTTTTTTTTGGCCAAACCGGGGATTGAACTCAGGCCCTTGAGCTTGCCAGGGAAGCGCTTATTGAAATCAGGCCCTCGTGTTTGCCAGGGATGTGCTTATTCCACTGAGCCATCTCCCTGGCTCCAATTTTTTATTTATTTATTTTTTCTGTATTTTAGGGAAGGGTCTACAGGTATTCAGGGTCTCACTACTAGACTGGACTCCTAGTGATTCGCCTGTTTACAGCCTCCTAAGAGCTAGAATTACAGGCATGTGCCACCATGCCCAGTCCCAATCACCATCTCAGTGCACTCCGGGGGCAGGGCTGGCACAGCAGGCCCAGGGAGTGAAACCCTAGCCCCTGCACCTGCTTGCAGGCGCTCTAATCCACTGAGCTATTTGGCTGGCCCTAAGTCCTTTTGTTTAAAAATGAAGCTGAATTCAGGACAGCAGAGTAGAGATATGGAAAGAACCTGACTTGGACAACATAATGGGGTCATTAAATTTCCTATTACTTGCAGCCAAAATCATACTGACTTACAATTTTCCTCTGCATTAGATCTAATATTAAGCTGTAGCTCTTTCTCTCTGACTGATATGTTCATATTATATAATTTCCTTATATGTATAATTGCATTTACAATGACTCTATAGTACTACTGTTTTCTTATTTGGAAAAGCAAAATCCCCAGTTCCATTACTGTTTCTTTTTTCATAATTTGTGCCATTCTCAAATGTTTAAACTTTCATAATGAACTTTTCATTTTAGAGTGAAAAAAATTGAATATGGAAAAAATTTGATGTATGTACTGACTCATAAGCCCCTCTAAGAACTATCTATAGACAAAACATAGTGAGATATTTTAATTCAGACATTTCTTTACCACATTTTCCTGACCAATTAATATTTCACATTTTTAACAGAGGAGAACAATCATTCCACAATCAGAACAATGTGTGCTCTTTAGCTTGCTGAAGAACCACCCACTGAAATATGAGAAATCTCCCACTGATAATCTTCATATTTCTGAGTAGCAAACATTGGAAGAGAAAGCTGAGTAACACATTTTCTTCATTTAATTAAAAACCTAGTAATTTTGATGGCGACTTTGTCATTGTTAAAGATAATAGTTATGCTTAGTTCCATTTTGTAATATGTCTATGTTGTAATACCTCATTCAAAATACTAATTCTCTGAAGGGAATGAATTTTCCCTCTCTAAGTCTCAATTTCACACTTTCTAATGTGTTCCTTTTCATGTTTACACTACTGTCAGAATTAAAAAAACTTTCCCATAACCACCTTCCCAGTAATTGTCTTATTTGTTTTACATCATAGCCAAGTATCTTAAGTCACTGGCAATATGTTGCCTCAATTTCCTGTTGAGAAATAGCTTCAGTGGGGTATAAACAACATTGGTCTTGAAGTAAGAAATATCAATTGTGGAATTCACTGTCTCTGTCACCTTGAATGTCTAGGCAAATCTCTATAAATCTCATCTCTTTCTTCACCTATTAAATAAAAGGACATAATATTTATTCCAGAATTTTTCTGGAAGAATTTGAGAAATGTTAGAGAAAGAAGAACAAAATACAACCAAACCCATGGAGATAAAAAAGAGAGTTTGAGAAAAAGTTATTTAATATTTTAACCTTTCTTTCTTTTCTATAATCTGTATCCATCTTGTATTACAACTTAAGTCTCTTATGGATCATCACTGACTACTCTCAAAAGCTCATCTACATAACGTTGCACTATCTTGTTTTTTCTTTGTTCTTACTTTTCCCTCGCAGTGGGTACGTTCATATACTCAAATCTTAAGTGATCTGCTCTTCCTCTGTTATCTGTGCTCTCTCCTTTTAAAAACTGACCCCAGCTCCTGGCCCCAGTGATCATGTCTACACTCATGGTGCTCCCCTCTCCCCAACCCACTTCTGTTTTCTTAGCGGCCTCATTCCTCACACATTCATTACATATATAAACCTTAAGTTCTCAAGAATGACCTTCAAGAAGAAAACCACATGTTTATCTTTGCCTTTTCCCCCCTCTATCCAAACTGATTCTTGGGAGGATTATTCTAGAAATAGTAATAAAGAAAAGGCATATAAGAAAGGAAAATATGGAAACTGAGACTTAGTTTCCATATTTTGACAAACTTACAGTTCTACCTGTTGGGCCTATTATACCTTCTCTGCCAAGAGGGCCATGGTTTCCCTGTTGGGTTTAAAGAAAGACAGTAAGGCTCATCATTGGAATAATCCAGAAAAACTCAAGAGAATTTTCTTGCAATGGTAAAGCCACATCCAAATAATTAGTTTTATATAAAATCTTAAAGCATTAGCATAACCCAGTTATTTTGATTCACATTATGTGACACAACTGTGCATTTGCTGATTTCCTTTCAAGATACGTATTTATGTAATTTTTGCCAAATACAATATTCTATATATTTTCAAATTTATAACAAATATAAATCAGAATTACATTTGTTATGTGAGGACAATGAATCATTGTGATATTATATAACAAATGAAACCTTTTCTGTAAAATATTAGAATAGCTAATACGCTTTTCCAATAAATTTCTGTGCAGATGCTGTAGAAATAGATTACTTGAAATGTAATGTCATGAGGTCCATTCACTGATAACTTTACTTAACAGTCCAATTCTAAAGGAATCATTTTAAACACAAAAACAGACTGCAAATGATAATTGGTACATAGGATATCTTAATTTGAAAGATCTACAGTCAAGTCAAGAGTTGTTTTCTTAACCTAATCAAATGTCACTTTTGTCTGGCTATCACTAAAAAAATCAAGAAAACTTTAATCTAATAAAGTGAATTAATGTGACTCTCTAAAATAATGATTTATTGAAAGACTAGATCAGTATACCTTGCCTCTACAGAAAAGTAGATCAAAAGAATAAACAACTGTCTAAATGTATTTAAATTAGTTCAAAAGATGCGGTGCCATGAATTTAATTGTTGGTACCAGCTAATTGAGTCTTTGAAAGGGTGCAGAATTCATATCTTTTAGTTCAAATGATTTTATTTAATTGTTTATTGATTTTGGGGCAGGAACTAGGCCCCAGCTCATTTTGTATCCATCCTGTTAACCAATTGTGTAATCAGCAGGCAAACCTATAACATGATTTAATCAATCAGATATACATTCGAATTGACTCCTCTACTTTATTAGCCAAATATGGGGTTGCATATATTATCCTTCTGAGACTTAGTTTCCATACTTGAAAAGTGGGAATGATAGGATTTCATAGGACTTTTATGAGCATTCAGTGAAATAAAGAACATAAACTGAAAATCAGTCTCTGGTACATGATAGTGGTTTACTAAATATTAACATACTGAGGCTTTTCACTTGTCTCCTATAATGACTTAATAAACAAATATCTGTGTTTACAATGTAGTAGGAGTGAGCTAGTTACTCAAATTTTACTATTAGTGACAAAACCAGATTTTTTTTTTTTTTTTGTTTTTTTTTTTTTTTTTGCGGAACTGGGGATTGAACTCAGGGCCTTGCGCTTGCCAGGGAAGCACTTATTCCACTGAGCCAAGATTTTACTATTAGTGAGATGGCGATTTCTAGACCTTCAGAGGAACATAGACTCACCTTGTGGCCCACAGAGAGTCAGTACTTCCTGAGACCCTGCTGAGGACACATGCTAGGCCAACAGCTACTTTACTTTGATAAGGTCAAGACAAGATGAAGTTAACTGAGAATCTAAGCTAGAATGAATGGATCTAATTAGTGTAGGAATTTAATATAACTAAGAATATAGAGCAATATTTATTATAGAATAGCTTGTTCATGTATAAACTACCTGCAAACAATCAAGAATTGGACTGCCCATAAAAGTGCCATTTCCTTGGTTGCTCAGAAATTATAAAAGTCATAATTTATATCCGAAACAATGCTAAGGGGGTCTTTTTTTAACTATTTTTTATTTTTCAAAGAGAGTATAAAATAGTATTAAAGCAGAAAAAATTACAAGTGATACAGAATTTCACTGAACAAAATAATATGAATTTTACAGCATTTGTTATAATACATAGTTTGTCTTCCAACCAGTTATTCATATATGCCAGGGAGATAGCTCAGTAGAATAAGCATTTGTCTGGCAAGTACAAGGTCCTGAGTTCAATCCCTGGTACCAAAAAAAAAAAAAAAAAAAAAAAATTTAGGCCAGCCAAATAGCTCAGCAGATTAAAGTGTCTGTTTAGACGCAGGGGCCGGGGTTTTGATCCCTGAGCCTGACATGCTGGCTCTGTCCCCAGGGCACACTGAGATGGCAATTGAGACTGTGTGTAGTGGTGTGTGCCTGTAATCCCAGCTCTTGTGAGGCTGTAAACAGGCAGATCACTATGAGTCTGATCTAATAGTAAGACCCTGAACACCCTGTAGACCCTTCCCTAAAATACAAAAACAAAAACCAAAGCAAACAAAAACAAAAAATACCAAATATATGCATGCAAACTTGGAAGAAGAAAGAAAAAAGAAGTGTATAAGAAATTAAGAAGAGAAAAAGTGCAAACAATTGAAAAAAGACAAAATTATCTGCTCCTTTCCATTGACTAAGGGGGGTCTTTAAACAAACAAGAGCCTTCTTTGTATTATAGAGAAGAATTTATTGTGAAAGTTATGGAAAGAATGTAGCATTTAAAAAAATAAAACTCTTTGTAATATTTTGTGCAAGACAAAGGTTTTCAGCTATAAAGCTCTTCAAGACTTCTTTCTCCTGCATCTAAACTCCCTCCTGTCTTCCTTCTGTTCTCTCCACACTCACCTTGGCAGCTGCAGTTAGCCTTAGAGGTACGATTTCCACAGCCAAATCATTTTTTTACACTTTCTTAAAAAATTCAGTTTAATAGATCATCTTACCAATTAGGAGACTGTGATTAAAATTAAAATAAATATTTACTTGCCATTTGTATTTCTTCCTCTGAGAAGTATATGTTCATCTCAGATGTCCATTTTTGGATAGGGTCTTCGAATTTGTTGGGGGGGGGTCCTGATTTTTTAAAATTCTTTATTTGTTCTAGACAGAAAGCCTTTGTTGGAGGGACAGTCAGATCTAATTCTTTCCTGGTTTGTGGGTTTTCATTTTACTCTGTTGGAGATTTGCCTTGAAGTACAGAAACTTTTAAAAATAGATGAGATCCCAGTTGTTGATTCTTTAAAGTATTTCCTGTGCAGTTTGATTTCTTTTCATGAACTCTCTACCTACTCCTATGTCATTAAAATTTCTACCTACATCCAGAAGATCTAGTGTTTCTGTTTTAATGTTTAAATCTTTGATTCATTTTGACTGTAACTTTGTGCATAGTGATAGGCATGGGTCTAGTTTTAGCCTTTGACATGAGGAAAGCCAGTTTTTCCAGCACCGTTTATTAAAGAAACTATCTTTCTTCCAGTGAGCAAGTTTGGCCCCTTTATGAAAGATAAGGTGGCTGATTATGTTTGCAGGTGTGTCTGCATCTTCTAATCTGTTCTGTTGATTCTCAGGTCTGTCTCTATGCCAGTAGCATGCTAATTTTATCACAGCTTTATGGTATAATTTCATGCAAATTAAAACAATACAGAGATTCCATCTCACCCCAGAAAGAATGGCTAACATCAAGAAGTCAGAAAATAACAAATGCTGGAGGGGCTGTGGAGAAAAAGGAACGTTTCTGCACTGTTGGTGGGAGTGCAGACTGGTACAACTACTATGGAAATTGGTATGGAGATTGCTTAAAAAGTTAGGATTAGAGATCCTGTTCAAAACAGCTATTCCCTTCCTGGGTAATTTTCCAGAAGAACTGAAAAACCTCATACCACAGTGATATATGTTCACTCATGTTTATGGCAGCACAATTTGTCATAGCTAGATCCTGGAAGCAACCCAGATGCCCATAAACTGAGGAATGGATAAAGAGGGTATAGTATTTTTTACACAAGAGAGTATTATTCAGCCATAAAATAGGAAAAAATTCAATCTTTTTTGGTAAATGGATGCAAGTAGAGAACATACTCTCAAGTGAAATAAATCAGATCCACATGTGCAAACATGTATTGCCTCCTTACTGTGAGAACCTGAAAAAGAAAAATGGAATCTGAAGGATACAAATAGATACTGGGAAAGGGGAATGAACTTGTTCAAAAGGAAAAAGTTACTGAGTTGAGGAAAAGGACAGGACGGAGTGGGGGAAAGAGATCTATCTATGTATGTAAGCAGGATAGTTTGCACAACTGTGCTGTGTATTTCTGCTGGTCTATGGAAAGGAGCAGTTAATGCTTAATTTGTTTCTTCTCCTTTTTTCAATTGTTTGTACTTTTTCTCTTCTTAGTTTCTTAAACAATTATTTGGGGTTTTTCTTCCAAATTTACATGTATATATCTAATAATATAATAACTGGTTGGAAGACAATATTACAAGAAATACTGTGAAATTCATATTATTCTCTTAAGTGAAATTCTGCATCACTTGTAAATTTTTTCTGATCTATTTTTCATGTATTTGGCACAGGGTCTCACTGAACAGCTCAGACTCATAGCGATCCTCCTGTTTTCAGCTTCTGCATGTCTAGGATTGCAGATGTGCACCTCCAAGCCTAGACTCAATGACTGGCTCTGGCTCAGCACACCTGAGGGCAGGGATGGTGGAGCATGTGATGCTAGGGATTGAACCCCAGTCCCTGCGCTTAACTAAGCTGGCCCTTAGTCAGCTGCGCTATCTCACTGGCCCTGTGTTTTAATTCTGATTTATACTTTCTTCAAAAAAATAAAAAAAATAAACTTCAGTCCTATCATTTAATTATTTAATTAATTAATTAATTAATTAAACAAACTAAAACAAAAAGGACT